ATTGTTAATATCGAGAGAGACGAACTTCATAATGAAGTTGCAGTTATGCTGAAGTAGCGTTTTTCATGAAAATCTATTGAAGATTATCGTGAAAATTGTATTAGCTGTCTAATTTGGCAGTATTCAAAGCATAATTTTGGCGTTCTCTCTAGAATTCTCTCCTTCAAAACGTAATTCTACTTGTTCACATTGTCACTCGAATAATGCCAAGACCTTGGTCAAAACTAAATATCATACGAATTTATATTGCTATTTATTTTTTAATTTTAATGAAACAATCAAAACAAAAATTATTTTGGGATAATAATACAATATGATATAATAAGTAACAATCCTCCAAACAAGTTGTAAGTTACGTGACATAATGTTAGAGATTCACCTAATTTAGAGTTGGAAGCTAAAATAATTTATTTTTGTAAGTCAAAACCAAGTTTGTGTGGGTTTAGGTTGTTCAAATATTATTGAATACTAGAGTCATGCTAAAAATAGGAGACTTCAAAACTTGTTTTTCTCTATTTTTTTCCTCCAAACTATTAGTTTCTTCAATAACTATATGTAACAACCCGGTCAGTCGTTTTAAAAGTTATAGCCTCATTCCCCTATTTATTACTCATTCTGTACTTTATAACTGATATATGACTTGCCGGAGTAATTGGTTTAGGTACAGTGAGGTTTTGGAATGAATTGGAACACTTAGTTCCAAGTTTTAAAGCTTAAGTTCAAATAGTGACCAGATGCCGACTTATGTGCAAACGATCCTAGAATAAAATTTTGATGATTCCAACAGTTCTGTATGGTGATTTTGGGCTTAGGAGTGTGTTCGGATTTTTATTTGGAAGTCCGTAGTTAAATTAAGCTTGAAATGGCTAAAATAGAAAATTTAAGTTTGGAAGTTTGACCGGGGAGTTGACTTTTTGATATTGGGATCGTAATCTAGTTCTGAAAATTTTCATAGCCCTGCTATGTCATTTATGATTTGTGTGAAAAATTTGAGGTCAATCAAACTTGATTTGATAGGTTTCGACATCAAATGTAGAAGTTAGAAATTCTTAAGTTTCATAAGCTTGAATTGGGGTGTGAATTGTGATTTTAGTATTGTTGGACGTGATTTGAAGACTTGACTAAGTTCGTATTGTGTTTTAGGATTAGTTGATATGTTTGGTTGAGGTCCCGTGGGCCTCGGGTGATTTTCAGGGTGAGTTTTGAGCGAGTACGAGCTTTTCGACACTCTAATATTGTTCTGGGGTCTTTGGAAGTGCGGACCGCACATGGTGAGTTAAGAGAATGTACTATATAACCGAGGCCTAGGGTATTATTTCATTTTTGGGACCTAGAGAGCTCGGTTTGTGATGATTTTTCGTGGGTTTTTCGAAAAATTCATCGGGTAAGTGATTCTAACTCAGATTTGGTTAACATACATGAATATATCATTGTTTTCATCATCCAATTAGTATTTTGAGATGAAAATTTGGGAAAAATTGTAGAAATTTTATAAAATAAATTTTTGGAATTTGAATGTCGATTCGAAGTCGGATTTGAGTGGAACTAGTATGGTTGGACTCGTAATTGAATGGGTTATCGGATTTTGTGAGTTTCACCGGATTCCAAGACATGGGCCCTACAGGTGATTGTTTTTGAGTTAATTTTGAATTTTTATTAAAAAATATAGTATTCTCTTATGGAATTGATTCTATAATCTTTGTTGATTTTATCGAATTAATTATGACTAGATTCAAGTCGATTGAAATCGGAAAATCAAGGAAAATGCATACTATTTGATTAAATTTGAGCAAGTCGAGATAAGCGACTTGTCTAACCTTGTGTGGGGAAAATTTCTCCTAGGATTGGTATTGATGTGATAATTGTAATGTGATAAAAGTCATGTATACGAGGTGACGAGTGTGTACACGGGCTAAATGTGAAAGATTATGTTTTTAAATTATGTAGATCACTGTTGCATATTAATTAAATTATTAAATCTTGTTATATTCTTCATCATTGATCTGATTTATATACTTTAAATTTGCTTGACTTTCTCCTGCTAATTATTTTTACCTGTTTAGCTGAAACTTGGTTTCTTTTATTCTGTGCATTATTTGAAGTTGAAATTTCTTTAATTTAAATATTATTAATATGAAGTATTTGATATTTTAAATTTGGAATTGAGGCAACGTATTAAAATTTTTTAAATATTATTTTTGCTGAGTTATTAATTCCCGAATATTTTGTGAGATTTTTGTACTCATTGTGATTGAGCCGTGAGCTCCCTGTTGTGGAAAATATTATTGATGTTGTTTATTTTGGTAAATTAAAATATTTAGGCACTTGAGGTACAAATTGTGATATATTATGATATTGATACGCATGCGGTGGTATAAGGTACGAGTGTTGAAACGCATGCGGTGAGATAGGGGTGGCTTGATACACATGGCTAGTAGGGGAACTACTAGAAGTCATGTGGTGTGATAAGGGTGGCTAAAACGCGGGATGCTATTTCAGAAAAAATATTTTTTTTAAAAATTAAATATGAAGGCTCCCGCGGTGATATAAGGAAATGAGATATTGTGAATTTATTTACGATTTGGGACTACGAGACGGTACCTCGAGAGTGCCCTTGTTGATATTGATTTATGGCCGCAGTTGCCTTTGATTACTGTTATGATTTTCTTAAAGTTTAAAAGAATTCTATTTTGTTTCCACGAGGTATTATTTGCCATTATTTTGCGCAGTTAATTGGTGACATACTACTTACTTGATTCATTTTCATTGTCATTTTATTTTTATTATATTGTTAAACATTTCACCTTGTCTTTTATTATTTTAGTAGGGCCTGACATGACCTCGTCACTACTCTACTGAGGTTAGGCTTGACACTTATTGGGTACCGCCGTGGTGTACTCATACTATGCTTCTGCACACTTTTTTGTGCAGATCCAGGTACATCCTACCAGTCCAGACATCAGTGAGCTACTTGTGTACGAAGACTTCGAGGTATATCTGCCAGCATCCGCAGACTCCGGAGTCCCCTTCTATCATTATTATATTGCTTCCTTATTTTTCTTAGACCTTGATATATATAGATACATTGAGGATAAATTATTAGAAGCTTGTGACTTATTTCTACCGGGTTTTGGGAGTTGAAATTATGTGAATTTGAAGATTATTTATTTCAGATTTCTATTATTATTCCGCATTGATAGACTTACCTAGTATTAGAGACTAGGTGCCATCACGATATCCTACAGAGGAAATTTGGAGTCGTGACACTATAATTCCTTTTATATGTAGTGTGGATATACCATGTTTTTCATGCGGCTAAGAATGATAATATATTTTCAAATTTATTCATCCATAGAATTTGAGATATGAAGTTACTTATGTATAAATTCTTTTTTCAAGAGTTAATGAAACAATAATTACTTCAAACAAGCTTGTGCTTTAATTTTAAAATCGATTTCTTCATAGTATGTTTCTTTAGACTATTTTCTTATGTATGAAGTTGTTGATTTCAAGTTTAAAGGCCTCTTTTCTAATGGAGCAAGCTAAGGTGATCATCTCGATGAAGAGTAATTGGCAAGAGATTTAAAAAAAATATGTCAGAAGCGTATTATGTTGCTAATAAGTTATTTTTCCTCGTGACTTTGTAAACATGGAGTTATTTCATTCAAGATCAAACGAGTTCTTTTTCTTCTTTGTTGTTCAAACTTTTCATTTGTCTTTGCATAGGCTTTATTATTTTGTAAATTGTATGTGCATAGTCTCCCGTTTTATACAATTATAAGGTGCAAGTGAAAGAAAGGAATATAATAAAAAAATAAGTGGATGATTCCATTCCACAAGAATGACCGGTCATATACAATAAAATTAACTCACAGTTTTTATTTCCATTGGAGATAATTTATCAATGTTAATAAGATATTTCAGTATTAAATAACTATCAATAATTATTGAATAATAATTCTATCATGTAATATAAATATATATTTTTTGAGTATTCATGCCTTTTTAGTAAAATTCTATAATATGGTGGTAATTCATTAAGATATGAAATGAACTCTGTAAGATACGATTTCTTCCTTTATTGCATTAACTAAATAATATAAGAATTCATGATTTTCAGGAACTTAACTTTTTTCTTAAAATATTATTTTATAATTTAAATATATATATTTAAATAATATTAAAGTCTGTATTCATTGCTTTGAGATAAGCGTTCAACACATATTTAAAAATTATATTATTATTATTATTATTATTATTATTATTATTATTGTTGTTGTTGTTGTTATTATCGATATATATATATATATATATATATATCTATACTTTTAGAAAAGCACGAAACTCAAACAAAATATTAATCAATTTTTTTATTCTTTAAACATAAATTTTACCTTAAATATTCTTATATATTATATTCGTAATATCTTGAAGAGTTAAGAAAAAATAATTTTTTAGGACTCAATGAACAATAAACTCCCGATCCCTACTTTCGTGATTCTTTTATTTTTAAATTTCTTTTAAATATTTATTTTATAATTAAAATACATTTTAATAATATGTATGTAATGTTAATATATATATATATATATATATATATATATATATATATATATAGAAATAAATGGCAATATAAATTCGGTAGACTAAGATGTAGAGGTGATGGGAAGTCTTTAAAATTGGACTATTCAGTCCTATTTAAAGCACAACCAGTACTGTTTTTCCTTAACAAAAAAGAAAAAGAAAACAATTTAAGATTAATTTATTAAAGTTTATTTACACGATAAATAAAGCGCGAAAGTAGTAAAACCAATTCCGCAACTCGCACGTGCTACCGCTTCCGAAACAATTTGAAGGAAGGTCAGGCAAGGAAAATCTGACTTAAATTAAAGGACAAAAGAGTCAATCCACAGATCAATCGCGTGCTTCAGATCAGGCCCATGGCCACACCTATAAATGCCCAAAGTCCTCAATTCTTCAACCCGTTCAAAAACCCACACAGACTCTAGTACAATAAAACGGGAGCACCAAAAAGGATAAAAATAAAAGACGTATATTAATCTAGACGAAGAAGACGAAACTTAACCAAAAAAGCAGAATACCTAATCAAACCCTAGCTAAGTTATTCCATTCGACTCAACATGCTGTGCTGTGATTAAAACTATATATATTTATGTTTTGTGTGTATATATAGATATATATTTGTGTATGTCTATGTGTAAATAAAGGAACATGGAAAAAGAGTCGGGCACAACGAAAAAGAAGACGACATGGAGTACATGGGAGGAACTTTTGTTAGCGTTTGCAGTGAAAAGGCATGGTCTCAAGGACTGGGAATCTGTCGCCATGGAACTCCAAAGCCGTAGCTCTTTACCCGCCCTATTGACCGCTCAAATTTGTAAAGATAAATACCGTGACCTCCGCCGCCGCTTCATCAATAACAACAACAGTTATGATGATGAAAAAATCAACGACGGTTTTGACGACGGAGATGTAACGATTCCTTGGATAGAAGAGTTGAGACAACTCCGTGTTGCTGAGCTTAAACAAGAGGTCCAACGCTACGATCTTTCGATCCAGTAAATCTCTCTGTTTCCTTGTGTCGTTTTTTTAGTTTCTATTTTTTTAAATTTTAATTTTTTTTCAGTGTATGTGAGAATTATTATTTTTTTTAATTTTTTTACGTGGAAAAAAATTAAGTATTTGGATCTGAGAGATTTTGATCTCTGATGTGATATGAACAGGTCGTTGCAGTTGAAACTGAAGAAGATGGAGGAAGAGAGAGAGCAGAGCTTGAAGGACGAGAGTTTAGACGATGGCCAGAAACCAGATCTGGAGGATGTAAAGGAAGAGAGATCGCAAAACGACAATAACAGCGGTGCCGATGGCAAACCGGAGGAGTCCACCGGAAAGGCTGGGTCCAGCGAGGAGTCAGACCGCGAAAACCGGTCATTCAACGAGTCTAATTCGACGGAGAACAGAGATATCGGTGTAAAAAACGAACCGGAACCGGTCGAGACGGGTGAATTTAGACCGGTTCAGGAAGTTAAACCGGTAAGTGAAGAGGACTCGTATAACGGTAGTAGTTCAGATAGACAGGAGGAAAAGAAAATCAGTCGCGAGTCGGGCGAGTCCAAGGAAGAGACTAAGGAAAACAGTGACGTGCAGAGCACCGCGACTTTAACGAAGAAAAGGTGGCAGCGCGGTGGTAGAAGCGGCGGAGATGCGGTGGAGGCGGGTTCTCCCGCCGTCGGACTTAATAAAGGGCAAGGTGCGGCGAAATCAGAGCCGCTAATTGAGTTTTTAGATATTATCAGGTCGCATAAGCGCGGCTCTATGTTCAAGCGCCGGCTGGATAGCCAGGTAATGATTCCCTACTTCGCATTTTCAAATTGGTTGGCCTACAACCATTTGGTGATCGGATTTTGACCGTTTGGACCACTTTAAAAAAATGAAAAGGATAAAACAGATTGGAAAATGAGGTAATTTATTTATCAACAAATATCGGACGGGTGAGATTCATATAAAAGAATTTACATGCAAAAATTGATTAAGAGGAAAAAGAAGAAGAAGATGATAATGCTCCTACTAAAAGAGAAAAGTGGATAAAACATAACAGAGTAGTGGCTTCAATATATGACGTGTACGTGGTCTTCACATGTTTGTTGCCTAAATTTTCTTTTCCTGCCAAAAATTATTACGCTCCTTCCATCTTTAGATTCATATTTCATTTGCATGCATAGGAAAATCAATAATTGGACTCGTCTCTCATATGTTGTCTACATGTGTCAGCGAAAATTGTTGATTATTCTTACTTATCTGAAAAGAAGAAATTGCTTTCATACAAAAGAGGAAATATTTACATAACTCTCACAATTTAAAATAAATATTCTAACTTTAGATTCTTAAATAGGCTACCTAAATACCCCTTATTTTCTAGTCATAAAACTTGTATTATCAGATTTTACAAGTTTTGCTAACTACTGAAAGGGTGCCTTGTTCGGCTCCGTCAATTTATTATGTCAATATATTCATCTAAAACTTACTGTATTTCAGTTGTAGTCAAGGTAGATAATTTAAAATATATTATTTTATTAACCGGCATCGTAAACAGTTCTATATGCTCAGTGTGGTTTGACAGTGTCAAGAGCTTTACTTAAATGTGATTTGATATCAAGCAATCTTTTCTTAAAAAGAGGCCTGTCAGTTGTGTGAGGCATATTTTTTTTTCTTTCCATGTATGTAATCTAATTGTGCAAACTTTTTGCACCATTAATTAAGTAAAAATTAAACCCTATTATTTTATTAAATAATGTATGAGGCCAAATTCTTCTCGTAAAAGAACGAAACCTTGGCAGTAAAATTTGGAGGTAGATAGGGGGAGGAGAGAAATATGAAGCGTCATGGATGTCGAGATTTGTACTTTATGAAAATTAGGGTAGGTTGATAGGTCCCATCTACAACCCGAACAAATCCGGGAAATTGGTGAATTTGGATGGAGAATGGGTCCCACCAACGAGAATGCCTTGTTTGTGTCTTGCCGTACGTAGCATAGCACCTTGGAACCACTAGAATTTAATCTTAGGCTCTCTTTTAAAAATAAGAAAAAAATATCCATTTATGGATCAGGTGAATACCATGGATCAGCCCATTATTATGGGCTTTTAAAAGACGGTATTCAGAAGCCCAATACAGACTTTGCCTTGCTTCCTTATTCTTTCCATTGCTTGACCTATTTTGACCTACTTCCCATTTTAACCATTCTGCTTTTAAGTTGTCACCACGGTTAAATTATGTGATCGCATGGTCCAAGATTGACCGTAAGTTAAATGATTTCTTTAAGATCATTATATTCTACTATATTGTATAGATTTTATATCCTTAAAAATAGTATGTTTAATCTTCATCAAACAAATAATAGTATGTTTAATTGCAATATTGAGATCGCATAGTACAAGTTTAACTATTTAAGCCTTCATGAAAAATTGTAATTAAACGACATCTCAAAGTATTTACACATGCAAATATTTTTAGCAGTAAAGAAAAACCGATTCAAGACATTACTGAAACCAGTGACAGTTCTAGTAAACAAAATGTCGTGAAACAAGTCACAACTAATACTGTTAGATGCCACAAAATCTTTGGAATTAAGCTAGAATCCAAGAATCATCTAGATAAAGGTTTTTGAAAAGCCTCCATGTGCTTGCTACACTTGGATTGAAGAAAAGATTAAAATGATGGAGGGTATTTTGGACAATTTCTCACGGTTTTTGTGATTGGGAAAACAATGCAACGTGCATGGGTATTGGGTAGGAGGTGAAACATACATTGTTTTGTTCTCATCCTATTTTTTCAAGAGATGAAATTCTTCTTACTAGACTACTAGAGCGAGCGCGTAATTTAGGTCAACCCTACCCCACTTCCTTTGGCGTAGTGGTGGGAAGTATGACGGCAATTTTTTTTTTTGAAATCTTTAGTTTGCTAATTTCTACTATTCCTATATATTTTCCTTCCTTTTCTTCCTCTCCGACGAATGGAATTTATGCCACACCTACCCTATCATATTTTATTATTTCCAGACTGTGGTGTTATAAACAAATTAAAGCTGCATCTAAACCGTTTATCACATTGACTTTCGATGCAGAAAACGGACAAGTACAAGAGTATGATCCGACAGCATGTGGATCTTGAAACGGTTCAAGCCCGGATAGATGACGGGTCCTATTGCTCTTGCCCCTCCAAATTCTACTTGGACCTCCTACTCATCTTCAACAATGCCATTGTCTACTTCCCTAAGTCATCCCCAGAGTCAACTGCAGCTAATGAACTCCGTGGCATTGTCATGGAAGAATTAAAGAAGAACAGAACCCAACCAAAGGATCCATCACCGGGACCCGGACCCTTAAGGATCCAACCCAAGCCCGAATTGGAGAGATCGGATTCTTTGCTTGCAAAACACAAGTCTACAGCTCCTATAGTAGTCTGCCGCAAGAGAAGCTCCATTTCAGCTAAAGCAGCAGCTTCTGGTACCAACAAGCCAGAAAAACAAGCTGAAATTAAACCTCCTCTGAATCCAAAGCCACCCATAAAGACTTCTTCAAATGAAGAAGAAAGTTCAATCAAGTTGGGGATGAAAGAAAAGCCTGTGACGGGGGTAAGAAGTATGAGGAGGAGCAATAAAGGCCGTCCAAACAATAATGCTTCACAATCCAACAACAACCAAACCACGAATACTAAGCAAACCAATACCAACGCGGACAAAAAGGAAGAAGCGAAAATGGAGAAGAAGAAAGAAGAAGCTAAAAAACGAGGAGCTGCAGCGGATTTCTTGAAGAGAATTAAAAAGAATTCCCCGACGAAAGGAACATTGATGGAGGCACTGAAGAACCCTACAGAGGATGTTGTTGTTAAAGGTAATAAAAGAGAGCATCAAAAGAAAAAAGTTGATGAACGGAGAGAAACTCCGGTGAGGCGAAGCGGTGGCAGTGGCGGAGGCGGAGGCAAAGAGGAAGGTAGCCCGTCGAAGAGGAGTGTAGGTCGACCGCCAAAGAGAGGTGGGAAAGAAACTGTGCAGGAAAAGCGGGGAAGGGAAAATAGTGAAAAGGATGATTCTTCAATACGGCCGAAGAAACGGTCAAGGAGGTAATAAATTATGATGAACCAAAGTACTGATGTTAGTTTAGTCATTTTGCAGTGTATATTTAACATTATTGTATTTCAGTGTTAGGTTTTGATTTGGGATTACATTTTAGGTTAGTTTCAATGTTTCATACTCTTTTGTCCTGTAACATGCTATTGGCATTTGTACCCTTTCCTTGTTACAGTAAGTCTTACCTCAATTAGTTTATGCTCATTGTCCCAGCCATTGGTGCACTGTTTTTAACCAAAGATTAACGGAAAAAAGTACCAAGAGAAAGAGAGGAAGAAAAGAAAAGAAAACAAAAGAAGAGAAAAAAGAATTTAACTCATATATATTGATAAATTAAAAAATTTGGTGATTTAGTAATGTAAAAATTCTTTTATCCGGTTCAAGTTGCATATAAAATTTATAACTAAAAAAGGTAAAATACAAAGAAAAGAAAAGAGGGGGCCATAACAGGTGAAAATGTGGAAGGGAGGTTTTCTCTTGTATATATATCTTTTCATTATTAAGGGAATAATATATGTTCTCTCATTTATTTCTATATATGTCTTATTTTTCTCATAATAGAGTAGATATTTTCAACTAATTAAATGTTCTTATTCTCATTTGAAGTTCAGCATTAGTATATTCACAGTTTTAGGCGAAAAGGAAAAGAACCAAATGATATAGGCCATAACTTTATGAAAATATAGAACTTTAACTTATAATAATTTCTATAGTTTATTGCATATTTGCATCACATAATTTCCATTTTCTTCCTCATCACAAAATATGCCATTTCCCCAAAATCTCAGCTAATTTCGGCTGAAAATATTACGATGGCTAAGAGTCCATTTGTTATTATATAACTGCTGATATATACACCAAGGACTATTCAACAGTCATAGTCGAAGCTATTCAGAAGGCAAATGTCGAACACACACACACACACACAAAAATGAAGTTGTTCGGGTAGTATGGAATAATGGAAATGCCATTTTGGAGCATTCGAACAAACACATAAAAATACTGTATGATAAGCAGCAAAGTTCATAATGGAAAGATATGTACAGAAATTGTTGAAAGGAGACATTGTTAACCAAACGGAGGATATATTTTTGTAGAGTCAGATTCAGAATTTAAATTTTGTTGATTCAATCTTTAAGATTTTTATCATTAAACAATGAATTCATATTTACTATTTATTACATAATTTTAATATTTTTTTTATATATAAATTTAGATTTTACATCGAAAGTTATGGATTCAATTGAACCCCCGTCTTAATACCACATAGGCTCTGATTTTTGGAACCTTTAGAAGAAAAATGGAGGGAGAAGAAATGGGCAGTGTTGGTTCTCTTGAGACGAAGAATATGACTAGGGATGGGAAGGGGAAATTTGTTTATTTATTTTTTGTTTGGTTCTTTTTATTCTAATATGAATTTGCATGCCCCTTAAAAAATAATAGATAAAATACATATTTTACCATAGTATCCATAATAATAATAATAGTATTTTGAGAAGTTTTAAGAAATGATTTGTGAAATGAGTAATTAATGATAAGGGTAAAATATGAGAAAAAATATAATCTTCTCTTGATTTGATAAAATTGACAAGTAAAAGTGAATATATTATTAATATAATGGACAAGTAAAAATGAACAGTATATAATAACGTTTGAAGGATTATATATGTATTTGGCCTTGGAATTATTTTGACTTCCTTAAAAGAGAAACTTATTTTTTGCATCGTTTAATGACTTTTAACTATTCTAATGTCAAAAAGATCGATCAGGACCCACTTTGATCCCAACTAATATTTTAAATCTTTAAAAAAATTAGTTTTTTCGAATACCTTTGAGACCACTTTTATTGAATATATTGAGATTTAATTCGTAATTGTAAAATCGTATATTCACCAAATACATATTATAGTACATCACAGTTTTTTTAAAAATAAACAATATATCGAGTATATAGATTTGTGGAATACAGCAAAGACATCTGGATGTGTATACACTAGTTAGCAAAATTAAATATTTTGGATTAACCTCTAGGATTCAAATCTTTAACAAAAACTAAACAATTACAAATTAAATACTTATCTACTTTTTGCTAGAGCAGTGAAAATTGGTAAGAAAAATACTTATCTTGTGTGATCTTTTCTCTTTATACCTTTTATAATGACCCCTTTTCAAAATTAAGATTTATGGTCCTTCATACTTGACTTATATAATTCAACACAATCCTCCAAAATTAGTTGTAGCCAACCGACACAGCTGGTTAAGAGATCACTAAATAAGACTTGTTTTATAGCACATACCTTTGTAAAGAAGTGTATGAAGGATTAAATAATCCGTAAGATATTAATAATAGGTATTGTCTGTTTTAAAAACTTTATGTTACTTTTGCATTCAATATATGATATCTTTTAGTGGTGTAATTATGAGATCAAGTGGTTGTTCTATTCATAACATGAACTCGGATTACTGTCTATTTTATTGAGTTGTTAGTAAATGTCACGAACCAAAACTAACCCCTGTCGTGATGGTGCCTATCGTGGAACTAGGCAAGCCGACTCATTTTCAAAACAAAACGATATTTTCATTTCAAAGAAAATTTCAAGGTTATTTAACATAAAACCTCCATTTAAAGAGTTCAAATAAAAAAAAAACAGAAGTGTGAAAAAGAAAAGCCCGACATCGGGGTGTCACTAGTCATGAGCATCTACTATAATCTGTCTAACAATATCAAGGCTAACTCAGCCTGGAAAATAGCTAAATACTACTAGAGGAAGATAAAAGGGAGAAGAGCAGGGGCTGCGATCGCCAAACAGCTACCTTGCTATCTCCAAGAAAATCTGCAACCAGAACACTCAATAACCGCTACCGTGTCCAGCTACACCTGAATCTGCACACATGATGCAGGGAGTAACGTGAGTACGCCAACTCAGTAAGTAACAACAATAAATAAAGACTGAGCAGTAGTGACGAGAAGTAAAGCATATAACATTCATA